GTTAAAACAATTTACTATTGGTAGGAAGGTACGAAAAAAACTAACCAACAAAGAATTACTTCTTTCTTTTTCTTACTCTACTAGAATAAAAAAAAAAAAAAGGTAACATGGGACTAGTAGAAGACTGCTTTAGTGCTCCCACTGTCAGATGCAGTATTAGGGAGTTTGGATTTCATCCTGCAGGGAAGGGGGATGTGTTAGAGGGTTTAAATAGGGAGTAGCGTACCAGTGCACTTTAGAAATAATTCTAATTTGTTCATTATGGTTCAGCAAATATTTCTGGAGCAATGACTAGCTGTAGATGCTGGGAATAAACCAATATACAAAACTGTCAAAATTCCCTATCCACATGGAGTTTACATTCTAGTGTTGAGAGACAAACAATAATCAAAATACATACATATATGTGGCACATAAAATAATGAGGCCATGAGTAAAACAAAGCAAGGCAAGAGGATAAGGAGTGTTGGAATGCTAAATAGGGTGGGTAGAAAAGGCCTATCATGTGACATGTGAGCAAAGAATTAAAGGAGACAAGGGAGTGAGCCATGCAGACATCTGAGGGAAAAATGTTCTAAGCAAAGGCAACAATGCAAAAGCCCTGAGACAGAAGCATGCCTGTCCTGCTCCAGGATCTCCTGAGAGATCAGAAAGGTTGAGCTGGGATCCTGCTTTCCCAGCAGCCCTGCAGCCAGCCCACCCTCCATGTGCTGCTGAGTCCCGGGGAACCTATCTCTTTATCCTTTCTGGGAATACTGCGAATCCCTGAGGGCTGGCAAGATGAGGCTTACACGGCCTCAGATAAAGAACAAGTTTATAGTGTGTAGCACAGGGAACTATATGCAATATCTTGTAAGTAACCTCTAACAAAAAAGAACATGAAAACGAATATATGTATGTATATGGATGACTGAAACATTATGCTGTACACCAGAAATTGACACAACACTGTAAACTGATTATACTTAAACAAAACAAAACAAAAATTAAAAAAAAAGAAAAAAAAGGAGAAGAAGAAGAGTTGAGACAGAGGAATAGTAGATGTCATCAGAAAGTAAGAGGGAACCATTGCAGGGTTTTTGAGCAGAGGAGTGACATGATCTAACTTATATTTTTAAAGGCTCTCTCTGCACAACATTGTAAACTGACTATACTTCAATAAAAATGTTAAAAATAATTATAATAAAATAAAATAAAACTTAAAATAATAATAATAAATCAATAAAGGATCTCTCTGGCTGCTGAAGCTGAGAACAGAATGTAGAGGGAAAGAGGATAGAAGCAAGGAGACCAGATAGGAAGCTACTCCAGTAACCCAGGTGAGAGCTGATGCTGACTTCAACCAGGGTGGTAGCAGAAGTGATGAGAAGTCATCAGATTCTAGGTATATTATAAAGGTAGAGCCAATGTGATTTGCTGATGGAGGGGATGCGGGTTGTGAGAGAAAGAAGAGTCAAAGATGACTCCAAAAGTTTTTGGCCTAAGCAACTAAAAGAACAGAGTTACCTTTAACTGAGAAGAGAAAGATGGCCGTGGAGTAGGTTTAGGGGAGAAGATCAGTAGTTCAGTGTATAAAGAAGTTACATTCAGGATGTATATTAGATATCCAAATAGTAATGTGAAGCAGGCAATGGAGAACAGAGTCAAGTTCAGGGGAGAGGTCCAGACTAGAGATTTTCTAGATTTGAGGTCATCTGCAATAAATGGTATTTCAAGTCATGAGACTGTATGACATTACCAAGAGAATGAGTGAGACAGAATGGACCAGTGGTATGGGCATCACCTGGGAACTGGTTAGAATACAGCATCACAGGCCCTATCCTAGATCTACTGAATCAAAATCTGCAATAGAACAAGATCCCCAGGTGATCTGCATGCAACTTAAAGTTTGCAAAGCACTGCTTTAGAGCACCCTTGCAGTCCCCTCTTATGGACAATGAAGGGTAATAATGGAAAGGATGGTGTCAAGGATTTACAACTGGATCAGCTGACTGAATGGAGGAGGAGAGGAGGTGAAGGAAAGAGATTTCTGACTTAAGTGACAGGGTAGATGGTGAGCCAGGAGTCAACTAAGCACAGGTTGGAAGGTATATGGAGGGAAGGCATTAAGAGACAGACTACTGTTTTACAGGTGTTGAATTTGAGGTACACATAGGACATGCAAGTAGGGAGATCTAGGAGGCAGACAGAAACAGAAAGACTAGAACCTGGCAATAAAACCCAGAGACACTAAGACTACCTTCAATGGGATATCATGGTTATAGGAAGATTGTTTATTTCATTTTTTTTTGAAGAATAGAATTAGAATGTTGGTAGGTTAAAAGAAGAGCACCATTAGGAAGCCACAGAACCTGCAGGAAAGCAAATAATTGATGGAGAAAGGTCCTTAAGGAGGCCATAAAGAAAGGATTTTGGGGACAAATGAAGAGGATAGCTTAAAAATAATGGGGAGAAATTAAAACATATGTCCACACAAAGAACTGTATAGTTCAGCTTTATACACAATAGCCAAAAACTGGGAACAACTCAAATGTTAATCAAGAATTGAATGAACGAATGAAAAAACAAAGTTGGTATACTCATATGATGGAATACTATTGAGCAATGAAAAGGGGCAAACTACTGACACAAATAACATGGATGAATCTCAGAGACATTATTTTCAGTGAAAGAAGCCAGATACAAAAAAGTACACATTGTATGATTCCAGTTACATGAAATTCTAGAACAGACAGTTTACTATAGAACAGACAGTTTACTGTGGAAGGCAGCTCAATGGCTGCCTGGGGTTGGGAAAGTGAAAACAGAGGGCAGAAAGCTTCAGGGTTCCTGCCATGGAATCTTCATTTTTTTTCTTGTGCGCTCCTCACTAAATAGCAATACATTGGGGGAGGGTATAGCTCAAGTGGTAGAGCGTATGCTTAGCATGCACATGGTCCTGGATTCAATCCCCAGTACCTCCTCTAAAAAATAAATACATAAATAAACGTAATTACCTACCGCCAACAAAGAAATGTAAAAAAAAACAGCAGTACATTCACTTATTCTCGCTGGGTTTATTCTTTATAAATAAATATCTAATTATGCTATGTAACTATAATGATGGTGATAATTATACTAATAGTAACTCACTGAGTTCTTCCTGTGTGCCAAGCAATTATACTAAGCACTCACATGATCCTTACAACACTCCAGTGAAGAAGGCACTATTTTATCTCTTTTTTTAATATATAAGGAAACTGAAGCTGTTGATTAACTTGCACAAGATCTCACAGCTCATGTAACAACCTCAACTCTAAAAGTTCTTACTCTTAACAGTTACACAAGACTCAATGACAGTACAGATTATCTACGAATAGATTGTTATAAGAAGTCCATACGTTCAGAGAGTCTTTGGCTCATGGTACTTCTTGTTAGCCGCTCAGGTTTCATCTGTCCCTGCATTCTCCCTACCTAGCTGTAGCAACTTGTGGTCTGTGGACTCCCATCCCAAGTTCAAGCTTAAGTGTTCTAAACTCCTCCAGCTGCCAAGTAGTATTTACCTGGTTTTCCAGTTATGACTCCCAGTTCTGAGGTTATTTTCCCCAATGCTCTCTCCTGTGACTACCTACCTAACATTCATTCCTCTTTTCCCAATTTCTTCTCTTCCCTCCCCATTCGTCCTCCAGGCTTGGTTTCTTTTTTGTTTGAGAACTGGAACCCAAACCAACTTCCCTTGCCTATGTACTAGGAATACTTCTTTATTAGCCACTAACTCTAAACAACAACCCAAAGGTATGTAAGAATACTCTCAGCAGAGACCTGCTGAATCAGATTAAGTCGTTGAGAAAGAGGAGCAGGCACAATGAACGTATGGTAAGGCTTTTCCTCCACAGCTTCTAAAATTGCACACACTAAAACCAACACAAATGCCTGAATAGAACACCTTACTATCATGATCACAATTAGGGGAAGCCCACAGTGAGAAAATGTTTATTCAGCAAGTTCTTCAAATGGTGAAAGAAGTATATTTCCCAGTTTTGTGTTATGTGGCACTAACCCTATTTGTCACTAAGACTTCAAAAACGTTGAGACTTCCACACATATTCACATAACAAAAATGAGAGATAATTATACTAACATAAAAGCCACTTACTTTTACAAAGTAAATTCTGTGAATCTGAAGCATTCTGCAGGGTAGGTTATTGGAACCATTCTAACTGGAGTGTCAACAGTCTTCTCTAGGTTGGGCTGAGAATGGTGACTTCACATCCAAATTGTAACTCTGAAAAACAATTTATGGTGACAAGTAAGAAATTTTATGATCAGACGTAACTGACAAATAATTCATTCCCGTAGAGTTCTAATGGTAATCTTGGGAGTTTGCCCTGGGAGCCTGAAACAGAATTAACTTTAAAGATAATACCTCTGAAACAATTTCGCCGTAAACCCTGATGGTGTCTTGTGGACTAGTGACTTAAAGGAGATGAGCTGAAAACGGTTTCTACCTAATTTCTGAGTAACTTTTAGAGTGTTGCGCAACTCCTTCTAAAGAGGAGAGCCAAACAGCTTCCAGGAAGGTGGATTTGGTCTTTTACAGATTTGGAGAGGATTTGGGAGAAAATAGAAGCTCCTCCCACCCCCGCCCCACTTCCGATAAGCTGAAGAACCCTCTAGAAAAGACATTTTTTTCCAGGGTGAATTCACTCGTTCCGAAGGTCAGAGGCAAATGTACCCAGGTTTTTGGTTCCACAGAAAGAACTCGTAAAAGGCAGGTTGCCCTTGCTTCGGCGACAGTTGTATTTGACCCTCAAAGACCCCACATCTTGAACTCCCCTGTGCTGGCTTGCGACTTTTTAAAAAAGAGTCCTTGGCTGACTCCCCTAAAGTCAGGTTTCTCAGGGGCCCGGGGTGGCGACTTACCACGTCCTCAGGGCCGACCGGCTCGAATCCTCCGGGAGAGGACCGGCAGCCCGGACGCCAGCGAAGGTAACACCCGCGGCCGCTCCCTCATTGGTTCCCAGAGGCCGGAAGTCCGTGCGTCCGGCGGAAGTGCTCCTTCTGCGCGCGTCCGCCGGGCCGGGGCCCTCAGGTAGGCGGGGTCCCTCGCTCCGAACTGTGGGACAGAATGGTTGGGCAGAGGTACAGAGGGGTCTCTGGGGGCCTGAGGTGGTTGTCCGGGTTCTGGTCAAGGAAGACCGGAAGAGTTTCGGGGCCCGCGGGTTCCCGGCGACCTCTGATAGTAACCGGGCCTAGTGGAATCGGCCGCAGTAGGACCCAAGTGCGGGAGCGTCAAGTTCCTCGATGGGAGATGGGGTTTGGGGCTATGGCCAGAGCTGCTCCCTGACCGCGTCGGGATGGTCGAGGTCTGGACGCTGCCCACTTCCAGCCTGGAAGCCGTGTGCGCTCCGATTTTACCTTTTCCGTGCTTCTGGATTTGACAGCTTCCTTCAGGGCTAGTCTAGGTGCGGAGTTTTCCTCAGTAACACCCTTGGCCTCACGAGATAAAAATCTTAGAAAAGCTGCCAGAGGCACAGGATAGAGAGAAAAACGGTCTCTCCCCCTCCTCCATCCTCACTCCCATCTCCTACCCCTCACTACCGCCCTTTAATGTGTTCCTAGAAAGAGAAGATATGTTTCAATTGCAGGTTGCTCGAGTGGAAGTTTTCGGGACTGCTTTAGGCCAAGATTATATATAGTAATTAAAACTACTTGTTAATGGCTTCCCTTTTCTCAGCCAGCTCCACCCCCAGGTGGTTTGAACTTTGAGCCTCTTGTAGACCTGATGAACAGTTTCGCTTTCCTCACGTTTATGACACTTGGAACTTCAAGAACTGGAGGTTTATGCAATTTGAGACCCGTCAGCACGGTGCAGAATTCAGAGTACTGAGAGACAGGTGAGCATGAATGAGTACCTTCCACTCCAGATTACAGTTTTTGAGAGTGATTTTGCAGTTTTTGTACAAGGTGCACCACCTTTATTGAACACTAGGTGGTGCCCGTGAGTTAATCTTTCTGGAATAAATCTCAATGTAGCACCAGATTAAGGGTTTTCAAGTGCCTCCATCTTCCTTGAAATTCATTTAGAATAGCTTTATCTGCTTAAAATATGTTGTGTCTTTATACAGTTCATCCAGTTACCCAATATCTAGTCTGTATTATGGGCTGAGGAGGCCAAGAAAGGAATCAGACTCATTTTATGTTCTTGGTTTACAGTGTGAAGAGGAAGACAGACAAACAACAAGCTATATCACATATAATTCAAGGCATACATCGTGCTAAATAGAGAATAAGATGTAGAATGCAGTGGAAGAAGCAGTCAGTTCTCATTATTCATTTACCAGTTATTTATCCAGACCTTCTCTCTGCCCAGCATTGTGCTAGATACTGGTATACAAAGAAAGTGTAAAATCCCTACTCTCAAATAACTCATAATCTAGTGATTGGTAGGGAACCAAGGAAGGCATTATGGAGAAGGCGAAACTTGACCTTGAAGAATGGCCGTGATTGATAGAAAAAGATGCAGGCTCCGAAGAGAAGAATGAAGTACATGGCATGTTTTGAAACAGCAAGTAGTTCTATGTGGTTAAACTGTAGGAAATTAAGCTTGAAAGACACGTTCAGTGTTACTTTGGGTTTGCACTGACTTAGATTGGAAAATTCAACAGATTTAAAATAATACTTACATGTATTTCCAGAAGAAATTATACATGAGGCATAGTTATAGTAAATTACCCTCTGGCTAGCATATTATACATGAAATATAGCTGTAATAAATTACACTTCTGGCTATAGTGCAGCTCATTTATGCATACATGTTATTAATGATTGAAGTTGATTTAAGTCAGTTTTAAAGGGTATAGTAGTAAGCATAGATTTTCACTGATTACACTCTACTTTGAATATAATGTAAGGAATCATTTTCATTAAAGTTCACATGTCAGATCACTGGATAATGATTACGTGTAGGAAAATTTTAAGTGCTTTCATAGGTTACCCTAGAATTTAGGTTTTGATGAACGGTTGTACCTCGTATTAAATGTGTTTCCTAAAAGGAATGTAAGTTCAATTTTTTTTTTGAAGTATAGTTGATTTGCAGTGTTGTATTCGTTTTCTGATGTACACTATAGTGATTTAGTTGTACATATGTGTATTCTTTTTCATATTCTTTTTCATTACAGGTTATTACAAGTTATTGAATATAGTTCCCTGTGCTGTACAGTAGGGCCTTGTTATTTATCTATTCTGTATATAGTAGTTTATATTTACTAATCCCAAACTCTTAATTTAACCCTCTCCCCTTTCCTCTTTGGTAACTATGAGTTTGTTTTCTATAGTTTAACTTTTATAAATGGAAAAATTTAAATACTATAAATGTTAAGGTAAATGCATACAATATCAACACACCAAAATCAGTATCTTGTCTCTACACCTGCAATAATCAGAAATTGTAATGACAAAACCCCTGTTTCTGATATTAACAAAAAAAATACAAAATATATAAGAACAGCCAATTTTCAAGGCCTTTTTTTGAATAAAACAGTACTTTTTTTTTTAATTAAAGATCATAAAAGGAAGCCTAGATTTATGGAGAGATATATTGCTTGATTGGAAGAGTCAAATTTCAAGGATACAGATTTTCTTCATATTAGTTTTAATATAATCTCTGTCAAAATTTTAGATAAATTTTTTGGAACTTCACAAACTGATTCTTAAATTCATTTAGAAGAGAAAATGTACAAGAATAGTCAAAAATTATTGGGAAAGGAACCCATAATAATAAAGGCAACTCCTTATCAGTTATCAATGTATACCACCTCTAAAGCTATAGTAATTAAATAGCAAGGTAATGCCTTAGGGCCAGACTTGAGTCTGTTTCTATTGAGTCTACATTAAAGGTAGCATAAATACAGGAAACAGTGTTGGGCCAATTGGCTATCCATTTGAAAGAAAATAAAAGTTAGATGCCTACTTCATAGTATTAACAACAACAACGAAACCTTCATATGCTTAAATACAAAATACTATGTATTTTTTTAATCTTGAGATGGTTAGGGCTGCTTTCATGGGACACAAAACTAAGAAGATATAGAGGAGAAGATAGATTTGGCCATTAAAAATAATAATTTACCATAACAAAATATACTATAAAATTTCAGTCAGGGACCAGAGATGATATTTGCCACATAATTACAAAGACTTTATACCCATGCTATATAAATCAGTAAGAGAAAGATAATCCAGTAGAAAAATGGGCACGTTTCCAAAGAAGAAATTCATATCAAAAGTTGTGCATGCCCACAAGTCATTAAGTAAATACACATAATGGCCAACGAGGTAATGCTAGGAGTATTCTGAGTCCTGGAGTGTACTTATTAAGAATGAAAAAGAATGTTAAAATGAATCTTGTAAAGCAAAGTCACACCTGATCTACTTTTTAAAAATAAATCTGTATTTTCATCTATTGAATTTTTTTTAAGTGAGACCAATAGTGAAGACTTCTGATTAATTTGTCAAGTCAGTTAAGAAGACTGCTAGGCATTTTTGTGGGGTGTTAATACTGTATGAATTTAAACTTTTATATACTAAGTGGAGGTTTTCTTTGCACAGCTATCTTCCCTACACCTGTAGCTCAGAAAGTATAGGCTATTTTAAATTGCACTGCTATATTGAATCATTTCAAATAACTTCTATGTGGGTTTATTGTTTTACTTAGAGATTAAAATGGCTTCCAGAGGAAAGACAGAGACAAGCAAATTAAAGCAGAATTTAGAAGAACAGTTGGATAGACTAATGCAGCAATTACAAGATCTGGAGGAATGCAGGTAATAGTATAATTGTATGCTGCTGTGCTGTAAAGTGGCTTTTCTTTGCATCTAGATTATAAGCTACGTGTGTGCGGCCCATGTGTGATTTGGTTTCCCCTGTAGCGTTCTTCACAGTGCTTTGTCTGCTGGAGAACTAAACTCAGTGCAGGCTTTGGAGTTACAAAGGCTGGGATATGAATGTTTTTAAATTAATTGCTAAGTGAATGTGCACTTGGGCAACATACTTAACCACCTCAAGTTTCCATTTCCTCTAGTGTGAAGTGGAAATAGTAACACCTACCTTGACTTCAGTATGTGAAGTAGCCCAGCCTGGTATCAAGCTGAGAAGGTACTACTTCAACTCCTGGTGTGTGTTTTTAGCTTTAAATGCTCAAAGGACTAGGACTACTCATTGCCTTTTTAAAAACCTTGAAAGATTGTTTTGAATATAACTTGATGAAGGGACAAACACAATGCTTGGTCCAAAGTAGGTGTTTGATAAATGGTAGCTGTTTTTGTAGTAAATGTTTAATAAATGGCTTGTTTGGTTAATTAAAAATAGCCTCTAACTCAGATGGCCAGCACCGCATTGCTATTGTATTTCAAGGTGCATAAACTTTACCTACCATTAATGATAATT